CAATGTATATCTTATCGAATTATGTAACCAAATTAGCTTGCAGGATAACGCAAATTAACCAAAATGAGAGAGACCGTAAAATGGGTTTAATATTTGCCATCCATAAATTATTATTTCTTAGATTGAGACCAGCTTAGTAAATTTATTATTTTTAAGTAGACACGAATGCATATAAGAGCATATACGTCAGGATTTAAAAAATGTTTCATAACTTTTGGTTCTTTTTTCTAAAAATGAACTATACTGTTGAAACCAGTAAGAAACTTTTACCAGTAACTGATCGTAGAACGTTTGTGAGTACTGTAGTAGTGACTTGTTAACAAATCAATTCAGTATCAACTGACTTCATGAAATTATATTTGGTGAAAGGCGCTCTATATAACAAACTTTTATACCAAATGTTTAAGATCATCTCGCAGTTGGATCTTCTCTCTTGCTAATTACAGAAAGACAGTATTTGAATTAATTATTCCAAAAGGTTAAACATCACGAAAGAGGCAAGATACGAAATAACTGCTAGTGTAAGGTTGTTTCTAGAAGTTATCCAAACTACTATCTGTACAAATATACAACATTTAAACAAGCCATGCAATATGCAAGGATGAGTTAAAACAAGTGTGCTTTAAAAAGAAGCATGAGAGAAGTATTTTTGCAGCTAATAAAGATTGGTTCAAAAAATGATGTAAATTTCCGCCAGTCTCCAAATAAGAAACAATCGACGAGATGATATTGTTACGGAATTACTCTTTTTTAACATAATTCTGTCTAAACACGTTTTACTTAAAATGTCTATCATTTAGAACTCTATGATTGTATAGTAAATTGGAAGTCCAAGTGAAAGCATGATAATAAAATCAATTAAACTAAATGTATGCACCATAATTATATTCTAGCAAAATTCTTAAAACAAATTAAACACTTAAACTGCAACAATTCAACCCAACAACAACATATGTTCACCCCCCCCCAATAAAACTAAAAGAACCCAAACAAATAGAAACTTCCCAGCTTATTGATCTATACCCTTTTGTTGCGCATGCACTTCTCTCGGTATGCAAATGTAGACTGGCCTACATGCACGACTCCTTGCGCGACCTGAATCGACCTATTTAAAGTTTATGCATAGTAATGAAATTATGTTTATATAAGACATGATCAGAAGATACAATTTTCTCAGGATGGATATTAATAATTTATGTTTCAAATGTTCTCTATCTTATGTAAATGTTTTGGAAAATCTTAAAAACTGATCTCAGGAAACAGTTTTTAGGGACGGACAGACAAACGAACCGACAGACACTCTGAGGGTAAATCTTCATGGACGCTTGATTGGTTATCCTTGTTTATTATTATGATGTTGGAGTTTGAAGTACATTTGTAAATGCTATAAGAAATGAGTAAAATTGAGTAAAAAAAATAGTTTCTAGAAAAAAAATCTAATTAAGGGGGATTCTGGAAATAGTCAAGCTAGAGAATTTAACCTGTTCCCAAACATTTTTAGTGCTTTTTGCATTATCACTGGATCCAGTTTATGTGTTTATGTGCCCTATTTTAAAGCCTTTTGTTGCCAAAGCAACCAAATTTGTCAACGTAGGAAGAAAAGAAAACAACATGTATTATCTCAAGACTGCCATCTATCCATATATCAAGTTTCAAAAAATAAAATATTTTTAGTATTTATTTGCGTTATTGCAGGATCTAGTTTTGTGGACAGTCAGACTGACAGACAGATGGACAGACAGACGCACGGACAGACGGATGGAGAGTAAACGTAAAGTCCCCTCTGGTTTAACCGGTAATGATTTGTTCAACAATGCAACTTAGTGAAACATATATTTACATTAAGTTAATATATTTGATCTATTTATTGTATACAAGATTGATACACTTACGTTTGATTGACAATTCTTTAAACAAAAATAAACTGTGAAAATCTCTTTTTCAGCTTTACAAAATCACGAACCTTTATTAAATATTAAAGCCCGTGATAAAATATAGCTCAAAATTGAACAAAGTAACCTGTAGATGGATAAAGCAGTAAGCGATTAAATTAATAAAATCTGATAGTTTGTCAACAACATTTGAGATGCTGAAGGGCTAAAACTAGTACTTTTAGTTAGCGCGAGCGCTTGTTGCGCGACTTTGACATATTAAGAACAAGCATGCCTGCGAAATCTGCTTCTGCGCGTTCTTTATATGGCGTTTATAAATTCAACCTGCCAAACATCTTTATAACTTATAGTTTTACCATTTAAACATCTTTATAACTTATAGATTAACCTGCAAAATATCTTAACTTAAAAAATTAACCTGTAAAGTATCTTTATAACTTATTGTTAAAACTGTCAGAAAACTTTATAAGTTATAGTTTTACCAGTCAAACATCTTTTAGACTTATAGTTAAACCTGTAAAAAATCTTTAAAATTTTATAGTTTAACATGTTTGCCGTCTTTATAACTTATAGTTCATCTATATAAGTTATAGTTTAGCCTTTTAAACATCTTCATAGCTTATAGTTTAACCTGTAAGACATCTTTATAATTTGTAGTTTCGACAGTCAATCATCTTTACATCTTATAGTTTAACCTGTCAAATATCTTTATAACATATAGATTAACCTGTCAAACATCTTTAAAACTTATAGTTTAAACTCTTAGACATCTTTATTACTTCTAGTTTAACCTGTCAAACATCATCTTTATAACTTACAATTTAACCTGTCTAAGATCTGTTTAAGTTATAGTTTGACCTGTCGGGCATCTTTATAAGTTATAGTTTAACCTTTTAAACATCGTGATGACATATATTTCAACGTGTCGAACATCTTTATAAGTATTAGTTTCAATAGTCAAACATCTAAAAAACATATTGTTAAACCTGTCAGACATCTTTTAACTTGAACCGATGTGCGATTAATTCTGATTTCCCATTTTCTGCTGTATATGTCAATGTGGTAATTTCATTACACGAATATTTTTCTCTTCTTAACTAGGCTTGTTTTATAAGTATAAAATGAAAGTATGAAATATGATATCCTTAATATTTACCAATTATATAAACAAAGAGCAAAGACTATAAGACGGCCAAGATATTTCAAAGCTTAAAACTATCAAAATAGTTCTACACACATCTTTATTTCATCTATATAGTATAATAACAAGTCTACTTCTGTTATCGCAAGAAAAGTTCAAGTTAAAATATAAAGGCTCGAAAGAACAAGGAAGTCACGTGTTTGTAATCTCAAGACAGGCTACACATTGGATTTGTATAGGCTTGCAAGGCACTGTTCTGTAATTTCGTTTATCTACTGTGAAATCTGTCTAGAATTGTTTCTGAGAAAAGCAAAAACATTTTATTATTTCTATATATTTCGTCAAAGATATTAAACAATATATAAAGCAAGTCTATCATAATTGTATGACTCATATGAAACAATTTGGATTAACTAAATCACAATATAAATGAATTCAAAACTTAAAATGAATATAAAAAAGAAAACAATTGTATTCGTTCCTCATTCAAAAATTACATTTTCTAACTTTTAGCTCTGTTATGGTTTGGTATCTATACATTATTGCGGATGCAGTCATCAGTCTAATCACTGATTAGACAATTACCTATAATATTTTGTGTAACGTAATTCACTTGTATATGATATTTCGTGTTTTCTCTTTTTAAACGCATTTTACTTTACAAATATGACGTCCTTTGCCGAAGCATTGCTGTTTTATTGAAAGTTTTAATTCAGTTGCATGCGTTCAATTATCTTTTGTACATTATTTTGATTTTTTACTTCAGCATAAGTGATTTCATGAACTTCAACATAAGTAGCTGGAAAAAGCCCGCGTATTCCCTTTGCCGTCGTCCCTCTCCACCAATCATCATTTATCCGTTCTATGTTTGTTATCATGTCGCCCGGATCAAAAGAGATCTGGTCATCAGTCTCTGTATATAATCAAAAATTTATTATCAATTACATACGTATTTTGTTCGCAAATATAAAAGCCATTAAATACAACAAATTATTAATACATTTTTACAAACAGCAAATATATGATGGGATAATTTGCTAACTGCATCTCGCAGCACTTGTCCTATTTCAACTTTTTTAACAGTATTCAAACCGTAAGATATTTTGCTATTTCTGTTTTGTATTAACATCCTGATATCTTTATGTCTTCTGCTTATTATTGATGCTAAAATATATATTGTATGTTTAATGCAAAAAAAAATTTGAGTTGAGTTGAATAAACATAATAATGATCAAAATCTAACTGATAAGTTAACAATTTCCCAAACATAATATAAGAGTAGATATAATGTTTATAAAATGTTTGATAGACACATGATCACAATAATTGTTTATACCCGGTCGGTTTTAGTGTCAAACGATCTCGTTCGAGTTCAAGAAAATGTGTTTTTTATAGTTTATGTTATCTGAATATCAATTTCTATAGTTTGATTTTGAAAACATAAAATAACATTCATAACAAATACCTGCAGTGAAACCATATAAGGCAGTGACATCAAATCCTGGAGTAATATCAACAATTCTGTTGCTTGTACTTTGATCATCATGTAGGTCTGAAGTATTACGTGACCAACATTAAGATAGAAATAAGATTAATTATAGTACTGCGTTGTTTCCAATGATATAAGAGATAATTTGTCATGGATATAAAATGTTTGACAAACATATGGACAAAGGAGTAAATAATCGATCGGTTTAAGCATGAAATAATTTCAGTTGAGTTACAATTCTCTTGTAATTTTGTTGTGATTAATGCTCCCGAGGGATCACTTTGTTTCCAGATTTTTTTTACATTGGATGTTTAGAGTTTTGATCATTTTGTGATTATACATATCTAGCTCGATTAAATGTTTTTATGAAGATAACAGTATTTTTCTAACAATGCACCAAACATACCTGCTGTGTAGTCGTCCAACGGTTTCCCTTCAAATCCTGGTGTAATGTCAATATCTTTGTTGCTTACAGTTTGGTCAATATGTGTATCTGGAGTAAATAAATAAGCGATAAGAGAGATGCACTTATCATGGAACATTGATTTCATTTCAAGAAAAAAATAATAAACAATACCGATAGTTCAAACTTCGTCACAATTTGATCGAAGTGTCGTGTAACTTTTGACCCTATGTTTAGTATTTCATCACAGCTGTTTTCATATGACAGATGTATATACAAGTATTATAATATAATAATCGTCCTTTTCATAAGACAAATGTATATATGATTATATCAATTTTTGATATTTCATTTGTGGATTAGGCAGTTCACCCTCTTGATCACAGCAGTAAGCCACTTAGAGTAAAAAAGCACATTAAGCCACCAGATCGTCCCTGGGTACTGATAACCTTTGTACATGACAGAGCAGATGTAATGTGCGGATTCAATAGAAAGAATTCATGACGATCAATCACGAGTTGCCCGATTCACAGTCCAACGCTCTATCTTGTGAGCTAACCGGACGGTTATTTAATATTTCTTAAAAGGAATCATACAACGCTTTAATGTATCATGTGTTCTGAATATTAAGGCAAATTAGGAAATAATGTCTATGAACTTTCCCTTTCTTGTTAGTACAATTACTTTGACAGTATAACACAATACAAGTATATAGCAATTGCAAATCTTGTCTTTATATTGTGTATTTTATCAGGCAAATGTAATGGCTTTTTTATACAACAAATTAGTATACTCTTTTGCAAACAGCAAATGAGTGGTCGGTGTATTTGCTCATTTCATTCCGTAGTACTTATTTAACAGTATTTTAACCGTAAAATTTTGCCTATTTATCTTTTATATCAACATCTTGATATTTATATATCTTCTGCCTATATAAATATATATATTGTATGTTTTATGAAATAAAATTTTTTGAGTCGAGTTGAATAAACATAACAATTATTTAAATCTAACTGATTAGATTTAATTTTCCAAAGTTGAGTCAGAGATAGTATGTATATGAACTGTTTAATACACACATGATCACATTAACTGCTCATACGCCGTCGGGTAAATGTTAAAATATCTCATTCTAGTTCTACAAAATGTCTTTTGTTTTTATGTCATCTGAATATCAATTTCTACAGTTCGATTTTGAATACATAAAAATGGCATTCATAACAAATCCCTGCAGTGAAACCACACAAGGCAGTTACATCAAATCCTGGAGTAATATCAACAATTCTGTTCCTTGTACTTTGATCACCATGTATGTCTGAAGTACTAAATGACCGACATAAAGACAGAATCAAGATTAATTATAGTATGGCGTTGTTTACATCATTGATTTCATTGCAATAAAGGAAAGAACAATATAATTTGTTCTCACGTACGTTTTACACAAACTCTCACATAATGTGCTGGAAATTTCCCACGTTCTCCATTTACTGTTGTTCCTATCCACCAACCAATATCTATTGGATCTATATTTGTTATTATGTCGCCTTGGTCAAAAGATATCTCGTTATCGTCCTCTGTACAAATTGTAACATTTAAGATTTAATAAATAAGTTAATAAGATAATGAATTATTAACGAAGATAGAACATCGAAAGAGAAATAAAGAACAAAATAGGACCAGTTTATTTTATGAAACTAATTATTTAAAACATAACAAAGATCTTGCAGTGCGAACTTCTAAGCAATATTGTTATAACCAGTATTTAATTTTCAACAATACATAAAAAATGACATTATTGTAACAAATACCTGCTGTGTAATCGCTAAAGGCTGTCGCATCAAATCCTGATGTAATGTCAACATTTTTGTTGCTTTCAGTTTGAACAATATGTGTATCTAGAGTAATAAATAAGCAATAAGAAAGATGTGCTTATCATGGAGGGTTGATCTTATTTAAAGAAAGAAAAAAGAAATAAACAATACCGATAGTTCAAACTTCGTCACAATTTGATCGAAGTATCGTGTAACTTTTGACCCTATGTTTAGTATTTCATCACGGCTGTCTTCAAATGACAGATGTATATACGAGTATAATAATATAATAATCGTCCTCTTCATAAGACAAATGTATATATGATTATATCAATTTTTGATATTTCAGTGGTGGATTAGACAGTTCACCCTCTTGATCACAGCAGTAAGCCACTTAGAGTGAAAAAGCACAGTTAAGCCACCAGATCGGCCCTGGGTACTGATAACCTCTGTACATGACAGAGCAGATGTTATGTGCATATGACAGTAGAAAGAATTCATGATGATCAATTGTATCAAGTAACCTTCATCGTATGGGAATCGAACACGAGTCGTCCGATTCACAATCCAACGCTCTACCTTTTTAGCTAACCGGAAGGTTATTTTATATTTCATAAAAAAAAACATATAAAGCTTTAATGTATCATGTGTTCCGAATATTAAGGCAATTTAGGAAATAATGTCTATGAACTTTCCCTTTCTTGTTAGTACAAATATTTTGATAGTATAACTAAATACAAGTATGTAGCAATTGCAACCATTGCCTTTATATTGTGTATTTTAACAGGCAAATGTAATGGCATTTCTATACAACAAATTAGTCTACACTTTTTCAAACAGCAAATGAGTGGTCGGTGTATTTGCTAACTGCATCCCGCAGTAGTTTTTTTACACTATTTTAACCGTAAATAATTTCCTTTTCATCATTAATATCAACATCTTGATATTTATAAAATATCTTCTGCCTATATAAAAATATATATTGTATGTTTTATGAAAAAAAAATTGAGTTGAGTTGAATAAACATAACAATGATTTAAATCTAACTGATTAGATACGAATTTTCCAAATTTTATGTCAGGGTTGATATAGAATGTATATAAAATGTTTAATACACACATGATCACATTAATTGTTCATACCCGGTCAGTTTTAATGTCAAATAATCTCATTCTAGTCCTACAAAATGTCTCTTATGTTAATGTTTTCTGAATATCAATTTCTATAGTTCGATTTTAAATACATAAAAATGGCATTCATAACAAATACCAGCAGTGAAACCACGCAAGGCAGTTACATCAAACCCTGGAGTAATACCAACACTTCTGTTGTTTGTACTTTGATCATTATGTAGGTCAGAAGTATTACATGACCAACATTAAGAAAGAAATGGGATTTATTATAGTATTGTGTTGTTTGCAATGATATGAAAGATGATTTGTCATGGGACAAACATATGGACAAGAAGTAAACAATCGATCGATTTAAGCATGAAATATTTCAGTTGAGTTACATTGGATGTAAAGCGTTTTGGTCATCTTGTGATTATTCTTATCTAGCTCTATTGAATGTTTTTTATGAAGATAACAGTATTTTTCTAACAATGCATCAAATATACCTGCCGTGTAGTCGTCCAAGGCATTCGCATCAAATCCTGGTGTAATGTCAACCTCTTTGTCGCTTGCAGTTTGATCAATATGTATATCTGGAGAAATAAATAAGCGAAAAGAGAGATGTAATTATCATGGTCAAAAATAAGAAATAAACAATACCGATAGTTCAAACTTCGTCACAATTTGATCGAAGTTTCGTGTAATTTTTGACCCTTTGTTTAGTATTTCATCACGGCTGTCTTCAATTGACAGATGTATATACAAGTTTATTAACATAATCACCGTCCACTTCATATGATAAATGTATAAACAATGTATATACAATTATATCAATTTGATATTTCAGTGGTCATTAGATCGTCAACCCATTGTCAAGAACAGTACAACCACTAGATCGTTCCTGGGCACTGATGACTTCTGTACATGACAGAGCAGATGTAATGTGGCGATGACAATAGATGATCGATTAAATCAAGTTACCTTTATGGTCCTGGAATCGAACACGAGTCGCCCGATTCACAATTCAACGCTATACCTTTTGAGCCAACCGGACGGTCATTCAATATTTCATAAAGAAAAAAAAATCATACAAAGCTTTTATGTATCATGTGTTCCAAATGTTAAGGAAATTTAGGAAATAATATTTTTAAACTTTCCCTTTCTTATTAGACGTCGCGTGCACGCGGCGTCTAGTAGATACGCATTCGTTCAGTAAGCAATGGGGAAAATTTAAGTCTTATTTTTGTTTAATTTTTTTGTTCTAACAAAATTGCAAAATTTTCAGATTTTCGGATAAAATATTTTTTCTGATGATCAACATGTCCCCGAGCGTCATGGAATTAAATAATCGTTCAACAAAAGTCATATTTCCATAGTTAAATATCACATGCTTTTTACTTTTTTTATATAATTTACCGATAAAATAACGTGCCATTGAGCCAGTCTATATTCTAAAGCAGGAATTATCGAGCGGAATATCCTCGGCTATTATCAATATCAACAGAAAGGGCCGAAAAGTTGCGGTTGAGGAAATCAGGGTATAATCAACGTAATTTCTTTAATTACCGTAATACATTTTCAATCTATATAGTGTATCAACGATATATAGAATATGTTTTACAACAAACACGGAAAAGTGAAAACTTGCATTTTGAAAAATAATAAAAAGAGGTTGAAGTGTAAATCTTAAATTTAGTAGACAAACATTTAATTATGCCTCGGTCAGTCGGGGAGTATTTCTTGTAGGCTAGGTGGATTTTGGTAATATTTTTTAACCATAATACCCTAGTAGGTGTAAACCACGATACCAAACATAAGCTATTTTCGCGAAAACAAGATTGAGGCTACGAAAATAAGATTTATTTTTTGAAATAGTGCATTTATCTGTTTAAATAATTATGTTAATTATATATTAATGCATTATTTGAATGATTTTACAGCAAATCAAAATTTCAGAATAAAAAAATATCTAAAAAAGTGCAGTTTGAACCGAAAATACATACGTACGAAAATACTTCAAATGGCCGTGTAAAGCGAAAATAAGATCAGATCTACAAAATTAATATAATGTATTAAAAACGTAATTTTGTTGTTATTAAATTTAAATATAAGTTATGAACCATGTTTACAAATGTTATTTTCGTAGTCGCCTTCTAAGGTTATTTTAGCATGCATACTATTTTGGTAATTTACCATATTTACCGAAAAAACGTGTAATATTTCATTACAAAACGTTTCATTCTTTATTATTTTATTCATACAAATCATTTAATAACAACGAAAATACGTTTAAAAGTTCAATAAAAACTAGTTTTTTTCTCTATCTCTGTCTTTGTCTTAAATTTATTGTTTACCAATCATTTCATTTTTATTTGTTACCAAATTTGTTTTGCTTGGAGTAGACCTTTCAGTCTTTATCAAAACAGACAAACATTGTTTACTTAGTATTCAGAATTTCTGACATGGCATTACTTTGTGAATTTATGCAATAGTTTATAGACCCAGGCGGCCCGGGTTCGATTCCCGGCACCGGAACACACTTTTGTTCTCAAGCTTGTTTTCGTCTTCATTTATTCACTGCATCATATGCCAATATATGCGGATATTCAACTGCAGACTGTAGAGAGCAATTGCTGATTTTATACATTACCTGTGACTGTTCACATCATTTTGCGGCGTCTTTGATATGCAGCATCAACATTTAACTTGTTAGTCGAATTGTTTTGACAGTTTATCTCAGACAGTATTCTCTGATAGGAGTAAATTATGGTGGCTGATTTGTGCCATTCGTGTTTTCGCCCAGCGACACCGCCAAGCGAAAAGTCGAGATTAAACAAGTTAAAATGATTGGGGCGCAGAGGGTTAACAGGCTAATAAGCGGGAGCGCGGGGCAAAGTTTAATAAAAATAACTTGCGACCCCGTCAAGCGAAAAGTCGAGAATTAACAAGTAAAGGTGGCGGGGACGCGGATCAAAAATCAATCAGCGTGTTTTCGCTGCGCGCCCTCGCCTTTTTATTTCTTAAATTTCGCTCTGCTCAGCGACGACTTGGGGCAAATTTTTAAAACCACGTACTTCTTGCACAGACTTCCACATAATTGGCTGGAAATATCCCACGTACTCCATTTGCCGTTGTCCCAATCCACCAACCTTCATCTATCGGTTCTATGTTTGTTATGATTTCGCCAGGGTCCAAAGATATCTCGTCATCAGCCTCTGTGTAGAATTAAACATTTATTATTAGTTATAAACGTATTTTGTTCGCAAACGTAAAAGCCATTACATACAACAAATTATCGATATTACAAACATCAAAAATATTGTCCTTTTTTGCAAAAGTACACCCCGTAATACTTTATCCTTTTTTCAACTTTTTTTGCAGTTTTCAAACCCGATAAATATTTTCTTTCTGTTCACATTGTAACATTTAATATATAAGTTAATAAGATAAAGAATTCATCTTAATAAAAATGAAGAAACAAATGGATCCATTTATTCAATGTAACTAGTTATTTAAAACATAGCCAGGGTGTGACAGTGTTAACATTTTATAGCTCAGCTACATAGGAAATCAGAGTGCTTATATATGTTTTTAAAACAATCCATTGTGATTATACCAACGAAAGTGTTTCTAGTTTTCTGATTCTAGTTTTATGCAATATTTTATAACCAGTATTTTATTTTCTAAAACACACAAACACGCACACACGCACACACACACATGCACGCACGCAAGCAAGCGCACAAAAAGAAATTTATTACAAATACCTGCTGTGTAATCATACAAGGCTGTCGCATCAAATCCTGGAGTTATGTCAACATTTTTGTTGCTTTCAGTTTGATCAATAAGTGTATCTAGAGTAATAAATAAGCTATAAGAGAGATGTACTTATCATGGAACATTGATTTTATGTAAAGGAATGAAATAAACAAATCTGATAGTTAAAAGTTTGGAACAATTTGATCAAAGTATAGTACATGTATAATTATCGGCCCTATGTTTGGTACTTTATCACAAATGCCAAAATATATATCATCATTGTTCCATCATATGTATAAACGAATAAATTTATTCAATATTTCAGTGGTGGTGTTGGTAGTTTACCCCCTTGATCAGGACAGTAAGCCACTTTGAATGTTCAGCCACCAGATCATTTCTTGGCACTGATAATCCCTGACATGCCACAGCAGAGGTACAGTGCGAAGGACAGTAAAAAGAAATTATGATGATCAATTACATCAAGTGACCTTCATCGTCCGGGAATCGAACGTGCGTCGCCCGATTCACAGTCCAACGCTCTACTAATACAGCTAACCGGACGATAATTCATATTGCATAAAGAAAAAAAGCTTTAATGTATCATGTGTTCCTTATATTAAGGGACTTTTGCAAATGATATTTATGAACTTCCTATTTCTAGTAAGTCGAATTCTTTCGACAGTTATCTACCACTACTACGAGTATACACAATGTAAAGCAAGTACACCCTTGTCTTTTGTATTGTGTATTTATATAAGCAAATACCATTTCTATGAAAATTCAGAATCTACATTTTGTAAATATATTCCAAGATCTAGATTATTCATCGATGACCAAAAATGAAAACAATAACTAAAAAAAGACAATTACTTAACGATAAAACGATGATGATCATAATATATCTTTCATTTGGTTTGATTCGATATAATAAATTATAGACCCTGTAGATGCTGAAAAATAATTTCGAAATTCTGTGCTAAATACATGATAAATATTTGTATTTCCTTCAATCAAACCCGAGTTTCAAGAAAAATTGATTTCATAACGAAACAGACTGAAGAAATTTTTCAAATATTTTCGTTTATAAAATTGAAAAATTTAGTGTATGTTCGTAATTGATCTCATCTGCTAAATTATGAATACAAAACTCAACAAGGGAGAGCGGACAAGGCAGGGTAAAGTCGCTCTTTGCGAAGTCAAATATCACGGATAAGTTTAAATCAAATATGTTGAAACTAAATATATTAAAGTTTATTCTATAATAATAATTATGATATGTTGAAAAAGTTGCATTAATCATTTATTCAATCAATGTTAAAGGCAAACGCCTACAGTAAATAATTCAATCTTAAAAAATATAGTTCGTAAAGTCGGCTGATTGATGTTTTAATCATTTCGTCAAATGAACGAAACAATGCTGTGTTTTATAGTGAAATTTCATATTTTACCAGTCTTTACGTTAGGAAATGCGTATTCGTTTGGATCATCCGATTTGTTTGTTATCTCTTCTTTTTCATCTTCTAATTTTCCTCTCGTCTGCTCTTCCTTTTCAATCTTCAATGTCCATTTTTTTATCAACTTAGACTGGTAACCTAATTAAATAGAATGTGGCCTTGTGATGTTTGCATTTAAAAAAGTTTATAAGAAGTCAAGTCGTAACGGATGTGTTTATCCGAATATATGTACTAAGACTTGGAAATTAATGCTTTTGCTTGTTCAATGTAGTTGAAAACATCATAAGAAATTCTTGTTCCCTACTCCAAAAAGGGCAAACGTTTAAATAAACCTTTGAGAGCATGTTATGTTAAGAAAATATAATATAAAAAAATCAAGATAACCTCTAAATTATTTCACATGTCTGTCGGGTCATAATTGGTGTTTTGTCCACAGATGAATTAAGGTAAAGATCATTTAAAGCGCAAGTTAAAGGTCAGTTCAATCTTTCAGAAAATTCTGGAAACAAAGTGATCCCTCGGAAGCATTAATCACAACAAAATAACATAAGAATTAAGAAGTCTTGTTCAAAATGCTGTTATGTCCAAGTATGAAGAGAAACTATTTATCAAATACCAAGATAAGTCAGTTAAAGCAAAAATCAGTGAAAATTCATCATGTCATAAAAGGCCAAGGCCAATCTGAGTTTGATATAAATGAAGGTCTTATTCTAGTTTATAATGTTCTATTATAAAATAAAGTCAATCCATTCAATTATAACAAAGTTACAGCCAGTTAAAGCAAAAAAAAATATTTATTAATGTGACCTTCAAGCTCAATATCATACATGAGTAAAGGTCAATGTCTTTCTGGTAAACTCAAAAAATATTATTCTGTTCAAGTTTAAAGACAATATATTAAAAAAAAAAAAAGTTGTAGCCACTTAAAGCAAGAAACAAGCCTAATTTGGACATTTGACCTTGATGGTCAAGGTCATTTATGGATAAATGTCAACGTTAGTCTTCTGAAAAGTCTTGTCCCAAGGATTGCTTACTGTGGCAAAGAATGAAGACAATTCACCAAGAACCTTAACAGTTTTGATCAACATACAAGTTTGCGGACGGCAACATCAACGTCCACGCCGACATGACTGTTACAATACCATCTTCTTCTTTAAAAATAAAATAGCTAAAAATCATTGCAAAATAGTAAATGCATAAAAATTGTAAATTTGTTTATAAAAACTCATCCCCGTAACAAAACATGTAAACAAACGTCTGCTTCTTTAACTAATTATGAAGTTGCAAACCAAATTTAAAAGATTAACCTATTGTTAAAATAAAACTATGACAAAAGCAAATTTCGTACAGAAAAAGAGAACAAAGACTGGATGTGAAATAATTTGTCATAAAGGAAGCAGAATGTTAAAAAGTAATATGTTAACTTCCATACAAAATACTAATTCACCATTACTGTTCAGTTTAGAAAGTAACAGTTCAAGAGCGATTTCTTAAAGCTCAATGAATATATTAAAAACAACCAAACAAGCTTATCCCGAACACACCTGACGAGCAATATATTTCTCTACACAATTATTATAAAGATGGACGCCCAGCAATAGAGTAGGCCTTTAGTTATTTAATGCCTTTAACAACAATTGTAAATAAGACAGTATGATAGGCATTTAAACAAATCTACATTCAAAATCCACATTACATAGACTAAAATTTAGGATACCACTGTCCGCCCTATCTATTAAACAGATACTAACAATATTTTGTACAGTCATGCCAAACTAACTCAAAACTCTGCAATAGCAATGTTTTTCTGAGTCAAATCTTAGGATTAACTAGTACATTTAACTAAAGATGTTATAATTTCGATCCTTGAAGATCGTTCCGCACGATATTAATGTTGTGTGTGCATGTTTTTGTATTCTTTTAATTCTTTCTAATTTGGTGTTTTTCCGGTCGGGTTGTTCAAGTATTCCTCCCTTGAATACTATTTAATCAACTTTAGGATATGTTGCCTGCTTTTTAAGTTTGTCTTTTGAAGGCTTCATAACTCTGATCCCCTTTCAAAATTACGTTTTATTTAGTTTCGACCAATGCTTTCTCGTTTAGGGTACACACATTCTTTTAGTAAGGAACTATATGATGAGCGTCATATGAACACATCTGCGGATGTTACAAAATTCAATATTTTGCCAGTTCATGTTAAATGTTGAATTCTTTCTACCGTCCATGAATAGGTTCAATAAAAAACCGAGGATGCATCATTTTCAATTTGCCGTGTTGGGCTTTCTTAAAGGATTCTGATATTCTGTTATTCACTATTTGCCGAATTAGTCAATTTTGAAAGGCTTCAGTTGCACAAAATATTACTGTAATTGGTTAACAACAATTTTAGACAAATAATTATCATATGCTGCAATTACAATTTGGACTGTGAAGTGTATATATACTCTTCTTACTAATTTCCCAGTACGTCTATCATATAACACAACTGGCTTTAAATTTTGAAGACATTATTTACAGTTTTTTGAATTTGGAAACATGGTACCAAGTTCGAACACTCAGTCTGTCTCGTCCACTGTTTTCAAAACAGATGAGTAATCTACAATGTCTCTTTTAAGGAGTCGAGCCTACTTAGGATATAAGCACGTACGTTGTACTTTCCTTGAACAGTTTCTATTCTAAACTAATAATTTTGTAGAAACAATGTCCATCTCATGATGTGACACTCTAAACTTTCAACATTTGAATGTATGTCAAACAAGCTTGGTCCGTGTGCAGCACAAATTCTATTCCTTAGAAACATTCATTAATTTCTTAATTCAAAAACTCATTGGAAGACACTCCCTTCCAATAACCGAGTAATGTCGTTCTCTTTACTCGCGTAAACAATTTGGAACAAGACCATCTTCAAACTGTTTAAAAAGTGCAGCCAGAAGCATTTCGCTGCAAAACAAACGTCTTTAGGTGGTCGAAGTCTTGAAGTCGTAGTAAAGGTTATCATGCCAATACTTGCTTTTATGCCTTAAAGGCTATTTTATGTTCTGGATTCCATATAATTTGTGTGTCCTTTGTTCGTGAGATCTGTAAATGGTGCAGTAATTTCTGTAAATGAAGAAATGAATGTTCTGCAATATCCAGCTAGACCATGAAATGGTCTCACTTGCATCTTTGTCTCTGGTCGTGTTGTGTCTCTTATTTCTATCAATGTGTCACCTTTCATTTTTATTTGACTGTTGCAAACAATATAGCCTGTAAATGGTATACTCTCATAACCAATCATACATTGAGAAGGTTTAACTGTAATCGCTATGTCTCTTATTCTTTTAAACAACATCTTTATATGTCTCTCCCACGATATGTATGTATGTTCAAAAACATGGTCACGCAGTTATAAGGAAATCTTTTCCCTAAAAGCAATTTCGCAACATCCAATTAAACGTTGGTCCAGAATTGACCAATTCAATGGCATCTTTCTGTATTGTATTGGTAACTACCTTCTGTTGTAAAAAAAATGCTATCAGATATTCCGAATTTGCTTCAATAGATATTTGCAAAAAAGTTGGTGCAATAAATTTTTGTAAAGAATCGTCTCCTAGTTTTGCAATCACATCCTCATCATTACCAATATTCTGTATCAAACTTTGCAGAGTTGAGTAGACCGAAGTCAATACAAAAGCTGTAACGAGCCGGCAATTTTTTCAATTTTCTCGTTTTGAGGATTCTTTAGGGATTCCTTTTTTCCTCTATGTTATTGCCACACCAGTGTTATTTGTGACATGTGTAGGTCTTAAAAAGTCGCCCCGTACATGAAATCAAAGACTTTTAACATTTTCGGTCTTTCAAGATCTTTCAGACAAAATAGTTGTGCGTACATGCCTGTGGTTAATTTCTTCTTTTAGACCTTATATCGACTTGAGTGATTCCAGTATTCTTACTTGAAAAAAATAATAGTAAAACAGAATCCCTAAAGAAAGCCCAACACGACAAAATTGAAAATGTTGCAGGCTCGGTTTGATTGAGCCTGTTCATGGACGGTACTGGAAAGTGCAAGTTACCGTCCACACCCCCTAGCACCGGCTTAGGCAGAATTCAACATTTAAACATAAAATAGTAAAATTTTGAATTTAGAAACATCAGCAGATGTATTCATACGGCGGTTATCATGGACCCCTCAATGTGACACAGTAGTGCCATTCCATGAAAAGCGGCGTATGGTCCCCTAAGTAATAAAAACAGTTTGCCCTAAACGAGAAAACAATGGGCGGAACTAAATAAAATGGAATTTTGAAAGGGGACCAGAGGTTATGAAGCCTGCGTATCATAGATAAGACGTCAAAAGACAAATTTAAAAAGCAGGCAACATATCGTAAGGGTGATTCAACATTATTCAAGTAGGAATATTGAAACCACCCTACTAGAAAATGCCGAACTCTACCAAGATTACTAAGTCATGGCCCTGGGGTCAAAATTAGCCTCGTCCCGGAGTCATAGGTTGTCCTTATATGTTTATAGAAAACACTTAAAAAACTTCTTGTCTGAAGGTAAAATGCTTATGGCTTAGATATTTCAAGTTGGTATATAATATCATCTATAGGTCCTCTACCATGGATGTTGAAAGTTTGCCCCTATTTTTAAAATGTACCCTACACAAATAACAGTATGTCTTCAGGTGAGCTCTATGGGGCCAATGCCCCCTTGTTTTCTATTTATATAAACCGCCACCAAAACCAGATTTAAATGTTAAACGTATCACAGTGAAGATATTAACTGCTAAAAATAATAAACCGACCAAATCTGACACTTAGAAAGTCTAGTTATTGTGTGTTTTTTCTTTTGGTAATGATTAATTACAATACACAAAGTTTATTTAAATTAAATTAAATTATAGTGTATTACCGTCTAGAACCATTACAGGCTCCGAAGCAACTTCAAAGTCATCAAGAAAATTGTACAGGAAATCAAATGTTAGTCTACAATCCGGAATTTGATGCCAACATTGAAGTATCGTGTTGTAAAACGAGTAAGGACATTGTACAGGTATTGGCTCCCGGAAATGACCTCTCAATAACTTATGCAAAGTCTCTTCCTTTTCTAAACCTGTAAGAGGTTTTATATCTTGTCTTAAACAATTTGAGTGCAATTAACAAAGGAACGTTATAATGTGCTTTTATGAAAAGATATGATAAACATGATAATATACATTGATTCTAACATAAGCTTTAATCTACTTGTAAAAACATTTGTATGTACTTGAGATTGTTACCATTTTATTTCGTTTAAAGATAAATACAATTATGATCATGCAGATCCGGCTTAGTACTACATTAGAACTTTACAGAATAATGCAGTAGAAATTACCTAAAATTTCGTAACCGCCCAAATATTTGCCCTCAAGCTTTATACCTTAAAAATGTCACCAATAGAAATTAATCGTACATAGCTGCTTTTAATTGATTTTTTATTTACTCATTTCGGTATATTTCTGATATATCTAAAGATTGAAGCTTCTTTACTGTGTCTTTGTGAGTTTCCCATATTTACATAAGAGGAAATGCTTGATCATACCTTAAAATAATGAACTGAAAATAAAATTATTTACCTTAAGCAAAGCTTTTTGATAAGATGCGTCTTTGAAATGCATAACAATGACATTAAATATATCAAAAGCTCATAAATAGTATCATTTACTAGATTCTTTTTTGCTGCAATACCGGTTATAAATGGAGTCACCGAGGGATCGATGCTTGTACCCCTTCTGTTTTGAATAAATACATGTAAATAATCATAAGCAGGACAGCGAGTATTCGATGCTGATATAATTATAACCCTAACATTTAAATTAAGTTAGCAATCAAAAATCCTTCAAATAATATGAAAATAAAGATCAATAAGGAAGGGCGACACTAACCGAACACAAATACTCTAGAAAAGTGGGTATGAGACATCTACTCATTGGAATGTTAAGTAATCAACTTTAAAAAGAAGGAATATCCCATTTTGCAACAACTTTAGCGGCAGTGAGCCAAATATAGCAAATGATCTCCCATGGGACGAGCACATAACCACGTTAACGAAAAATAGCCAACCAAATCCTAAGAGCCCCATAAGACTGCTAGGGTATGTAAGACGGTTGCTCGAAGAGAAATGGAATATGAATCTAAAGCTTCCCCCCATGCCTATAGTCCAATCCAAAATGGACACACATTTAGTGTACAATTAATTAAAAGGGGCCGACTTAATCTTCGACGTACTGATTTTCAATGATGTAACACAGGCAATCAATGATCACATATATTGCCTGATAATGACCAATTTAACAGTTGTTTGAGGGGTGATTGGACAGTTAGTTACCATAACGTCGCAGCTGCTTTGTAGCAGGCAACTCAAAAATCATTAACATGTCGAACATTTTTTTTATTCAAGGGCCGTAACTCAGACCAAAATCATTCAAACGAAAAACTCGTCAATCGAAATGGAAGTGGTAGTTTTTGAGGAGTCCGGATGAGTTTTGTTACGGACGGGCAGACAGACAGTCAGACGACGAAAAATCATCCCTGTTAGTCGTGGCTTCTTTCTACATGTAGCAGTTTCTGTTAAGCAGGCGACACAAAATAATTTGCAGACCAAGACGTCAAGAATATTCAACTGGGAAGCCGTTTATATGCGCAAATTATTCCTGTAACATTTTATTTAAATCACATTTCTAATATAAGTATAAGTAGCCAGGACGAACATTTAAAATAAAAATCAGTTAAGGGTCATAACTCGGAAAATATCATTTATCTGGAAAATGCCAACGGTATGTACAAATAGGCCAAGGACTCTTCATTCTTGTAACGTTTGCCTGAAATTGCAACAGTAGATTTGTTTGGTGTTCTGCTTGGTTCCTTGCCGGTGGTGCTGGATCGTGTTTGGGTTGCGTTCATTGAATATTGGTGTTGTTTTTCATATTTAATTTGAGGAGTATTCAAGAAGAAGTGATACCTCTGTCCCAACTCTGTAACAGGCCAAACAAGAATCACAAAGTCGACATCCCTTATCTAACCACATCATAAAGCTACTGACAGTCACTAAAGTATACATTAAACGGTTTCCCTTTTTGGTTGCTTAAATTAGTTTTATTCCTTATTATTGCTTTTTACTTCTTAGATGGAAACTTTGAAATTATACAAAGATTAATTTTGATGCTTTGACATTTACAACAAATTAAACACAACAGTATGCCAATAAAAATGACAAAGCGTGCTGCTGCTTGCTTCTTAAAAGCTAAACCAGTACATGCGTAACTAATTTATACGTTACGGCATTGATTGTATTTTGTATTCCAAGGAAATGCCATTGATCAATAATTAGATAAACAGGTATGTTTCATTATTTGCAAAAGTTTAACTTTCTGTTTCTATAACTATATAAAAAGTAAACCTGCATACGGCACTCCACCAAATGTGATGATTTCATACATCACAACTCCAAACGACCATACGTCAGACTTTGTGCACAAAACACTTTCGTCTTCTACTACTTCCGGTGCTGTCCATTGCCATTCTGTGTCCCCTTAATAAAATTGTACCATAAACATATAAAATCAAATGAGATTCAAAAGAGCATCCTGTTTATTCATGTAAATTACTTTGAAATGACTAATTGCTTTTTTATATTTGTGCCCCCACTATAGGGGAGGGCATTTAGATTTACCCTTGTCCGTTCGTCCTCCCGTCCGTCCGTTTTCTTTTTGTGTCACACGTAGCTCAAAAAGTAATTGACCAAGAGTCATGAAACCTTACAGGAATGTTGCTAAGCATGTGTAGTTGTGCACCTGGGTATTTTCATGTGGCTATATTTAGTATTTTTAGAGTTATTGCCCTTGACTTAGTAAACATTTCCAATTTTCAACTTGTGTCGCACGTAACTAAAAAGTGTTTGACCTAGAGTCATGAAACCTTACAGTAATGTTGCTCAGCATGTGTAGTTGTGCACCTGGGTATTTTGTGTGGATATATTTAGTATTTTAGAGTTACTGCCCTTGAATTAGTAAAGAGTTCCAATTTTCAACTTGTTTGGCATCTAACTAAAAAAGTATTTGACCTAGAGTCATGAAACCTTACACGAATGTTGCTCAGCATGTGTAGTTGTGCATATGGGTATTTTTGTGTGGATATTTTTAGTATTTTTAGAGTTATTGCCCTTGACTTAGTAAAAATTTACAATTTTCAACTTGTGTTGCACGTAACTCAAAAGGTATTTGACCTCTAGGCCTGAAAGTTTACAAGAATGCTGGTCAGCATGTGTATTTATGTACTTATGCACCTTGGGGTTTTCTTGTGAATTTATTCAGTATTTATAGTATTTCCCTTTACTGAATAGAATATTTTTAATTTTTAACTTGGGCACATGTAGCCAAAACAAAACTTTGACCTAGAGACATAAGATTGACAAATTGGTGGAGTGTGGGGCACCCGTGTCCTATGGACACATTTCTAGTTAGAAATAAGTTAGAAACGTCCTTTACTTCTGGAAAGAGTAATAAGCTATTTCCGATTAAAATCATTTTACCACTAATTGCACTGATGGTCAAAACTACAAGGAAATAAATTTTTTTTATATGTGTCATGATAGAATGTGAGCCATTTTGTGATGAACTATTTACATTTATGATGCATGAACTGAACAACTATCACATATGAAATTTGTTAAATGGATTCTGAAATCAATTTATATCAAATAAATTAGAAAAGCAGCGTCTACCTTCTTCATGTTCATCATTGGCACTTGTTCTCATTAGTTTAATGAGTTTTGGATGCAGTATCTTTAGTTTATCATGCTCACAAATAAATACGTTTTCAGATTTCAAATTCCCGTGGACAATGCAATTTTCTTCAAGAAACGCCATACCTTTAGCAATCTAAAATTGAATCTGAATATAAATCTAACCATGTGGCAGTGGTACAAAATATTAGTCTACAATATAACAAAATGTTTCTTATGATATCCAATTATTTTGAATGTAACATGAAATGAACATATATACATGAGTACTTCAGTAGAGTAGTAATTCTTATGAAAAAATGTATTTTGCAATTATTGGTAACGAGGTTTAGTCAAGGCATGTGTGTCAAAGTTTTACTTGTTTGTTACAGATAAAAAACACAGATAACATCGATAATACAATTTCCCGTGTTTCACAACGTGTGTATCATCTAAAACCTGAAATTCGAGTCATTTATATTTCAAGTTATTGTCAAAAGACTTTAAAACTAAATTCAACAATAGCTGTCACAGAGGTGACAAATATCTCATCCATTTCTATAAAAGGTAAAATTTTTCAAGGCATATCGTATTCATGGATACATTTGACATTCAAGTGTGCTATTGACCTTTAATGAAAACAAAGCAGCGACATAATTTCAGCACAGCGTTGTTGGTGTTAATATTAGAGGCTAGATTGAACACAGGTGGTATACGCTTTGCACCTTGACGTATTCATGTGGACACCAAGTTTGAAGGAAATCATTCTTGAGTATTGGAACTGACATTGCGGAAATGGACGACCTGCCGATTTGACGAAGTGAATCCAGTATAATAAACTGAATAAATAAATATAAAGAAAGACGGACTCTCTAAAAAACGAACGAAACTGCAAAATTGAAAACAAGCAGGATAGGTTTTCTTGAAGCCGTTCATTGACAGTAGGAGTACCATCCACTCAACATATAAGTCATTTATTATGCAAATACATTTTTGGTTGCTACATATAGAGCCTGAAATTAAAACTTTGATTTTTCAAAGACTTTCGCAATATGAAATGTGTTTGTGTTTAAGTAACACAATATTAATAGACATTTTGATTTACCTCTGCAGCCATATTAGTCAACCTTTTGAACGATATTCTTTTTTTATCACATTTCCTCAAATAGTATTGAAGCGTTTCTTGAACAGTCTCCCTGAGCACAATCATAAATGGTTTTGCTTCAAGAACAACAGCTATTACTCTGACAAGATGTTTGCTGTGAAGAAACTTGTATAGATGATTAGCCTCGGCCAAAAAACGTTCTACTTCACTTTTGCATTTAGTCACGATAGTAACGTCAAGGATGTTGCACAATTTTCCTGATATACATTTATTTTTTAAGCAAACTAAATATTTTACCTTCTAAAATCACCTATTTATGCAACATTATCAAAAACTGAGACAAACATAAGAAGAATAATGCCAGTTAAAAAAGATACCTGCATCTCAATGATCAATCTTTCAAAACAAAGCATGAAATGAAAATGAAGTTGCAGTTAACATCAGGTTTTGTGTACACAGCAGCAAAGACAATGTCTAAATTATTTCAAACCTACTAGTCAATCTGGCATAGGATATGCTCGATAACTGATATTTGACAATTTTCGTCCAGACACATCATTTAAATCAGCAAAAAGTACAGTATTAAAAACATTGATAGGCTTGAGATAAATGTAATGTTTCTTGGATGAATAAAGTCAACTGTGCTGAAAAAAACATATAAAGTGGAGGAAATATCGTACGTTTTTAACTTTAGGAAAGTTTGTTTTGTAATTATATTTGGTATCAAAAGTGATAACAAGCAAAATATCGTGCACAAAACACATAATTATAATGAATAAAAAGATCATCAATTTATACAATATCAAAAAAACAAAAACATTTCCTTGAAAACGACGAACTCTATTAAATAGCATTATATGGCATGTTATACGTTGCAAAATTCAATAACTTAAATTTTTGGTCTATATCAAATATTTATATTATATAACTCTAATTATACATTATATAACATAATATTTATTCTATCCTACGTTCATCATAAAAAATATTTGTATGCGAAAGTTTTCTATATATATATGTTCTATATTTGAAAATATATATTGTATAATTAAAAATATTTATTGGATACTGAGAAAATATTTATTCGATGATTTTAATCTGGAATATAACACTTAGCATATAAAGCCCCGTCTTTAAATTAAACACTAATTTCTGATAAAGCGTTATTATCCTATTTAAACTAGACTATAGTGTAGTAGAAATAGCCAATGTCCACGTGAATGTCACTTGTAAATAGTGCATAATTTTATGCTAAATCTTCCTTATAAATATATACATTTATCTAAAAATGGAAATATATTTTAAAGTCTTCAGGACATACAATCGTATAAGAATGGTTTTTCATAAGCCTTATTATTTAACCACCATATGATATGTGAGGATATCATGTAAGATGACTAGAGGATCATCTAAATGTTCATATACTCTTGTTCATATAAATAATATATGTGGAATGACATATGAGGACCAAGAGTTCATCTTCATGAATATATACTCGAGTTTTTATTATTGAAGATTCATGAGGGAATAATGTAAGATTAGTAGGGGATCATCTAGATGTATATATACAAATATAAATATAAGTTGTTATGGAACATATATGAGGGGTCATCTAAGATTACCAGGAGTTGTTTTAGATTTAGATGTATAAACACTTTAGTTCTTATTAAACATATATGAGGTGATCTCGTGTGTAAGATAAAGGGATAAGGTAGTGAATTTTGGATGATCTCTTTGAAAGAAAAATTTCTCCTAGATAAATTTTGTTACTTAAGAACTTAAGTTTTAAACAGCAATATCATCTTGCATAAATCATACATATTCTAGAATTAAAAAGAGTATGATCCTCTGGCCATCTAACGTGATCCCCTAAATAAGTGAACTTAAGTATATAAACAATCTTGGAGTCTTCCACGAAGCCCTTTTACATAATTCTAATATAAATAGAGCATGTACATCCAGATAACCCCCTGGTCATCTTACCTGATTCCTTTAAACATGTTATTTAATTTTTGAGTATTTGTACGTGTAGATGATCCGCTAGAAATCTTACGTGATCTATTAATACATGTTTGAACAGAACTAAAGAATATGTACATTTAATGATCCCCAATCATCCTATGTGAACCACGCATAAATGTTCTATAGAACTAGAGTACAGAAACATTTTTATGATCATTCGGTTATGTTGAATGATTTTTCTCATGCATGTCCCATAATAAATAGAGTTAATAGAGTTATGTACATCTAGAAGGTTCCCTGGTCATCTTACTAGCTACATCTTAAGTGATCTCTTCACATCTGTTCAAAACTGAAAAAGTGTGCAAGTGCATCTAGAGGCGGCATGCATGTTCCAAAATAAATAGAATATATTTATATCTAGAGGACCCCTAGTCCTCAAACATGATCCCCTTATACAAGTTCAACAATAAATAGAGTATATCTTCTTGATCACCTGCCGTCTTATGTAATCCCCTAAAACACGTACCATAACATATAAAATGAACTAGAATATGTTTAAAAAAGGTGAATCCTTGGATTTTCTTCTATAATCCTTATATGTTCTAGAAGAACGAGAGAAAATGTACATAAAGATGATCAAAAGATGAATCTTTATAATCCCCTAAAATCATAATTATTCGTGGGGCACTCATTTCCGTGGTTTTCGTAGATAGATGTACATGGAGATGATCCCCTGGTCGTCTTACGTGATCCCCTCATTTAACCTGATCCCGATATATCCTTTCCCGTAATAAAAAAGAGTTTATGTGCATCTAATGGTCCCCTGATTGTTTTACGTCACCCCCTCATACATGCCCCATAATGAATAAAGTAAATGTGCATCGACATGATCCTCTGATTGTCTCAAGTGATCCTCATAAAAGTTCCATAATAAATAGGGCGCATGTTCATCAAGATACCCTATCATTTAACCTTGAGTTTATATGTATATCTAAATGATCCCCCTGTCGCCGTACGTAATCAAATAATACATGCTCTATAAAAACAGAGTATATGCCATTAACATGATCCCCTGTTCATCTTACGCGATCCCCTAATTCATGTTCCATAATGAATAGAGTATAAGTACTTCACAGGGACACTGGTCATTTCCACTACACTATAGTCTAGTTTAAATAGGATGATAACGTTTTTTCAGAAAGTCGTGCTTAATTTATAGGCGGGGATTGATATGCTAACTGTGATTCTATCCCATGATTCAAATTATCGAATAAATATTTTCTCAGTTTACAATAAATATTCTTAATTTTACAATATATATTTCAAATATAGAACATACATATAGAAAATTATCGCATAAAAATAGTTTTATGATGAACAAAAATGTAGTAGGATTGAATATATATTTTGGTATAGAATATAAAACAAGAATTATACAATATAAATATTGGATATAGACCAAAAATTAGATTTATTGAATTCATGCCATAACATTCTTAAGATGTTATATTCATCTTAATGAAACTTATTTGAGTATCAGTTGTTGCAAAACAAAAACATTTAGTACAATGGGAGTTTTTGCTTTACCAAAAAAGGTAGCCTTATTTTTCGACACAATTTATCTTAAAATAAGAAATAATGAATACAAACCTCCAAAAAGCACCCCAAATGTACCAATGTGTATAGACTTGATAATTTCAATATATTTCTTTTGTACTTCTATGCTCCGTGGGTAAACAAGAGGGCTTTGTCTTTGAGCAGGGATCTTCAAATTACATTGAAGCCTAGCGTCTTCATCTTGACAAAAGAACAACAATATGTTCAATATAAAATGGAAAACTATTAAAGTTATGTGTTTGCCAAAGCTTTAAGAGTAAACCCTTTAATACATACAGATGCATACAAATGTAATTCAACAGTTACAGCAAAGACAAAAGAAGAAAAATAAGAAGGATGTTAAATTATTTAAAATCAAATTACATATTTACAATTTATATCATTAACATTGAAAACTATTTTTCATTTGATTTTAAACAGATTCCAATTTCTGAGCATATTTTGTGGAGAAAATTAAACCGTTGTATTCTGCTTTATATAGTATCATACGGTCATAAATATTATATTCATAAACGGTTATTATCAAAAGCTGTAACATAATATAACAGGATAAGCAACTTCTCAGTAGATGCGCAGTCTAATGTTGGCGGTAAATTGACACCAATAAATTGATAAACATGGTGTTTAATTCTCATAATTTTTAATAATGACACCAATGAATTTTCATAACGTCAGGTAAAGCCCATGTAAATACTAAAGGATTGTTAAAACATTACGCCAGTTGATTTACTTATTTTCTTATTTTAATTATTTACTATGGAAAAATATACTTATATTACAGTTGCCTGTCCCGGTTTATATTGTGTCCAAGTCAGATAGAAACTAAATTAGTATTTTACCATGAAATATAGGCTGATTAATATGAATTACATAAACTGAAAAGCTTTGCCTTATCTGCGTTTATAAGATTTCTTCTAGAATAATTAAAACACTTAACTGTAACATACGTTTGTAATAATCAACAAGAGCAAATATGTCCCTAAATTGCTTGTCTCGGGATATATATAAGTGATCATCTCGTGATTTGATGGCGTAGTGAAAAATACGTTGTTCTTTGTTATGTGTAGTAGGAACAATCATCGATAATGCATAAATATTGTCACCTTAAATAAGCAAAAAAACACAAATTGATATTTTGTATTATTCGCTACAATTCAATAATGTCATTCATGTCTTTTGTCATCAAAGATATATGTATTATTTGTTTCAAAAGCAGTGAAATATTTTCAGTAAATGAAAAACATTCTTGCATTACTTTATTTGAAAATAATAAACAACCCAGTATACTCTATACTAATCAAAATGTACCATATATCCCATAGATCTAAACTAATTTATTAAGGTTATTGACAACAGCTATATGTTTAAATCATTTTGCCATATTTTTCTAAAATAAGTGGACTAGCGTCATGTAATGCAACCTGGCTGTAATAACAAAAAAAACCAACCAGAAATGCTTATTCTGATGAAATGTAATGTAACTTGTTTTTCCTTATTTATTGAAACTATTAAAACAATAATACATAAACGCCTTTGTCTTATTCAAAATCTAATAATGACACTGAAGGAAGTGTTGGCCTAGTAGCTAAGGTGTCTGCATCTCCACTCAAGGGATCTCTAATTACAAAAGAACTGATTAGACTCGAAAGTGATTCAGATATTTAAGCTACCTTTTCAGAATAAATCTTTCCCATCTTCTGTTTCTCAATAAAAAGTGATTATTACAAAAATGTTCACTTAAAATTTAGTTTAGCTAGCACATAATGATAACAAAAAATGACCATTTATATAACCATAATATAATCAAAGCAATGCACATTGTTTTTCTTCTTATACTAACAATACAATAAGTACAACCAGTGACGTTAAAGTTTAAACGATTAATACCAAACAATAACCAAACTTATCTCAAGTGCACATGAAAGTCATTAAAATAGATAAAAACAGAATCCTAAAGAAAGCCCAACACGAAAAAATTGAAAATGTTGCAGGCTCGATTTGATTGGGCTTGTTCATTTCCGGTATTGGAAAGTGCAAGATACCGTCCACGCTGCCTAGCACCGGCTTAAGCAGAATTCAACATTTAAACACGAAAATGGTTAAATTTTGAATTAAGATACATCCGCATATGTGTTCATACGGCGGTTATTATGTGACACCAACGTGCCATTCCATTGAAAGCGGCATATTGTCCCCATGTAAAACATACGTGTGCCCTAAACAAGAAAACAATGGGCGGAACTAAATAAAATGAAATTTTGAAAGGGGGTCTGAGGTTATGAAGCCTGCAAATCACAGAGAAGACGTCAAAAGACAAATTTAAAAAGCAGGAAAAACATCCTAAAAGTGATTATACAGTATTCAAGTAGGAATATTGGAACCACCAAAGTTGAGAAAGGCCGAATAAAAGAAACTTAACAAAGTATATAACATGTATACACAACAATAATGTCGTGCTGAACGATCTTCAAGTCTCGTAAATATAACATCTTTGTTAAAATGTACGGGGAGACTTTTTACAACCGCCATACGGTCCAAATAACACTGATGTGACAATAAAATAGAGAAAAACAGAATCCCTATAGAAAGACTCGTTTAATTAATTATATTCAAGTACTATCACTCTTGACTAAGAATAAATGAATATCAATTAAACATCTCAGTTCATACCAGAGATGATCGAGAATTACCCGGAATTTGTTTATAAATCTGTCAAATGTCATTTTTTCTTCATTACATTTATACCTGCGCAAAGTTTGTTGTTTCCTCTATTTAATTGCAAAATATTATCGATTTAATAGCATCCAGTACTTCTTAGGTCGCTTTAAATAAACATGGAAACGCTACAGCGGCGCAACAAAAAACGCGACCTTCGTTGACTTTTATACTACACCAAAGTGCTTGATCTTGACCAAAATTTGCTTGGTGTAAAATCCGAAAATGGTATCCTCATTTGAACATTGGATTATTGTACAATCTAGTTTTTAGGATTATAGTTGCGACGTTCATTTATTCAAAAACGTTGTCATGGAAACGGCACTTTTACACACATTTGTCGGCAAACTGAATAGTATCCTTTTGAAACGTCATCCGACACAAGTATTTTCTAAGTCAAAGAAAAGGTTTTTAGATGTATAGTGTTTTTTCCAGACTGTTGGACTTATCTTAAATAACACATAAGGTTGGCTGGATAGAAAAATGAGCATGACGATTACGTTCTCCGACGCTGTGGCACTTGAAATAATACAAACAAATGTACTTTTGTATTCAGCCTGCAGAAATGTTAGTGCGATATTTTCATATAAATTCTAATTGATGAATTGCAAATATCTAACATTAGGTTTTAGTTTTAATTACATTTTTATCCAAAACTTATTCTTATTGAAATTAAGTAAATCCAAGCCGATGGTTTCAATTGCTTTTCTAATCTAGTAATTATAAGCGACGGTAAACGAGAATTTAAGCATTTTATTTACTTTCTTACATTTGATTTTTGAACATTTGATTTCATCATACACATTTCGCCCCATTAAAGCAAAAAAGGTACCAAGCAACATTTTGGCCAAAAATGACTTTTTAACATTTTTGTTATGTTTTGATGTACATGTAATCTTTAATCTGTAGAAATATCTCTGTAGTATCATTTTAATTTACAGACATATGAGGCTATGTAAAAAGGCACAATGTAAATATGTTTCCATTTAGTAATGCAAAAAGGTACCATATGCATGCCAGTTTGAGCAGAAAGGTACCAAGTGTCACATAGTACATTGTATTGAATGACTATATAAGATTTGAGCACTTATGTAAATGCAAAAAGGAACCATGTATCACACTGTCCCTTTCTGCACACAAAGAATTTACAACCCTAAAGATTATTTAAGATAACAAATTGTTTGCTTGGTACCTTTTATCTTTTTAATTAATACACACTCTAGATGTTGATAAGGACAGCAAATATAACTATGTATCCCAGAGAATTGTTATTGTTATTGTTTTTTTAAAAAGAGGATTGGTAACAGTGAAAAATAATAATAGTGTAAAAATGACTTCTTCACAAAAACATTGCATGTAAAAAGAAAAGCAATTGACTATACTCTTGCCCACAAGAAACATGGGGTATATGGAAGGAGAATCATGACATGAAAGCGTACATCTGCAACTAAACTAGATTATGATACAGTTAAATTGGTGAAACCGCATAAGGAGTAATTTCGTAAAATGGAATCTCATATTAAAAAACTTAAAGAAACAATAGCTATCCCATGACTTGAACATTAAAAAGATGTGGAAACTGTAAACTATTGAACGTGAAAAGAAGGAAATAAATCCTGTTAAGCAACATACGTATAGGAAGATTTTTTGTGAAAATTACAATCTATCATTTTACAAACCCAAGAAAGACCAATGTTCATTATGTACACTGTACAATAGAAGAAGGCAGTAGACACAATAAATGGCACAGTCAAGGAAAAAATATAGTGAATATCATAAACAGAAGGAAATGCACAAGAAGAAAAGGCTATGAATAAAGCTGGAGCAAAAAGTGACACATGCGTTTATGTTGCATGTTTTGATCTCAAGGCCGTCGTAACAATCCCTAACTCATAAGTGAGTGAGCTTTATTATTTAAGGAAACTCTGTTGCTACACAACTTGACAGTGTATTCCTTAGTAAAAAAATGGTGTATGTCATGTATGGGATAAAACCAACTTTAAAGAGGGGCATGTGAAATAGCTTCCTGCTTAATTAAAACCCCTTTTCTATTTGTCAGAGTGGTAAGTCATATATTTTTCAGATTCATGCGGAGGACGAAACAGAAATTGATTCGTAGCTGCGTATCATCTTCTTTTATATTATCACAAGTTTCAAATTTAAAATTGATCATCCACAACTGGATGACGTGATAATTTGACTATTGAAGGGGCAAGGAAATAACACTTTTATAATAATGTATCATTCAGTTGTATTCTCTTATATCACTGGCCAGAAAATCAGTCATTCATTTCTGTGCCAGTGAAATAAAGTCATATTATTGATTTCAAAGATATCATGAAAAACAGTGTCCGAGTCTCAGGACATCAATTGAAGGACAAAGAGTAAACTTGCCAGAGGTAAAATGTTAATTACAGCTTCAATGCTGACGACTTTATGGGAATAGAAGTTCAGAATACAGAATCTAGACAGAATGGAAGTATGTATCACTGGCCAAAAAGTGATCAAGATATGAAGTTATGATACCAAACCGCCCAGTTTCAATTCTAAAGAAAAATGACTTGGTTACTTTGTGTGCAAAGGAAATAATCCCAAAAGAGTTCCATAATTATTATGCAACTTAACCAACAAACAAGACAGAAAAGGGTTTTGTACGATGGAATCAGATGAGAATGATTCGGATTTTGAATGTTAGACATTTTGACATAGGCATGAGGATTGATCACAGACAAAACATGCTGCGAGATAGTTGCATCAGACATTTACTGAAAACACAATAATTTCATATTATTATTTGCATCATTGTATAATACAATTGTTACCAAATGGTGCTTTTTGTAAATATTGTTGGGACAAAAAGGTGCCGACTGCCATATGGTACCTTTTTGTGATGTATTTTACAACAAATGTTAAAAATCATACAATGCAAAAAGGGGCCAAGCGATCATATAATAGCTTCTTGCATTTGTCGGTCAAAATATTGATGAGTGCAAAACGGAACTATTTACTTTAATTGATTAATTATCACTATCTTTCTTATGTTTAATTTTAAGGAAGGGGGAACATTACATACGTATCCTGTGATATATCTGCAGTTTTCTTCGCAAAGCTGTGCGAACATCTATGGGTAAATAATTGAATTTATCCATGATATATTGAAACTTTGATTGAATAGTTTACTTAATAGTTATATATTATCGTACTTTACTTTTGCTGACTGATTTAAAGACGTAATTAATTATAGTATTAAACATTAAAGTAATTTAATAAATCTTACCGCTAGAAGGTCTAATAAGGTATGTTCCCAGGGTAGGTCTGTGAAGGTTTGTCAACAGCTCTTCCGCTCCTTCTCTGTCTATGTTATGCCACCATCTAAAAATATCATCTTTCATCACTGTATTGAATTATTATAATCAAATAAAGAAGCACTTTATGTAAATCACTTAACCAAAATGAATATAAGCATATTCCTTAGGTGCATCTAGTTAACGTAGAAGAAGTGGTTTATTATTTCAATATGAAAGTGAAAGGTTTGTCATACTCTTGCGTAAGTAGTTTAACATCCGCTTGAGTGATGTACGCAACTGGAACGAAGCCCTTTTCTCGCGTCACCAAATGTTCTGCATAACACCATTCAGAGTTTTCACTGAAAGGGATACATTTTTAACGGACCTTTTGTAGAAACATCTGAAATTTAAACTTAAGATTTCTTTTAAAAAATCAAGACTATTTGTTGAAAGTATTTTAAAATTTTTATTCCTTGGAATCTTTCAACAATCGAGTACAGTTAATCTATAAATGTTTCTGTGACCATTTAATGAAAGGAAGTGTATGGTTTACATCATAGCGCGTCTGTGGTCGAGTAGTTAATGACGCTGACTGTTAATCACTTGTTTCTTCGCTGTGGGTTCGATTCCCGTCAAGATTTTTGGATTCCGTTATGTGAGGAAGCTAAGTCACTTTTTCAGGATCGTCTTATTTCTTCCCAGGTCGCACTTCTTCTGATATAAAGCACCAGTAAACAGAAAAGTCAGCTAATGAATTTTACAATGTTATGTTTGTACCAACAGAATTGTTTTTGAATTGATTTGCCAATATTAAATAGAATAAACAATACTTGTTTTCACTATTAAATATTCACAAAAGATGTATTCATAAATGTATTTAAATTTATGGATTTAAAGGTAGTGAGAGATTGATTTGTTTCAGTGAATTACCTTACGATATCCTCGAAGACATTTAGTTCATCCAGCTGTTTGAAGCTTAGGTCTTCGTCAGTAAGTTTATCAAAATCAAAAATTGCTGTCACTTTTTTCATCAAAGAGACACTTGACCCTATGTTGTATGAGAAGTAATGGAAAAGAAATCCGATTAACACTTAAGCTATTGAGAAATATTTAACATAAGAAACACTGCAAAAATTCTAAAAGAGCACTTCATATTGTTTTATTCTATAAAACGAAAGTAAATTCGAAAATATTTTGCAGCTAAATACTTTAAATAACAGGCGTAAGTGTCATATCAATAACTTGGTATTTTTAGTTTGACTGTCCTTCTACGAGATCATCAATGCAAGGCGGCGTTCACATAAACCAGCCCCCGTCTCTATTAGCCACAATGAAAGAACATACACACGTGTGCACCGAACAAAGTAATATGAAAGGCCACATGGGACAAAAAGGAGGGACATGCCAATAACTGTAATTACAATCATCAAAAATATAGATGTTTTTTAAACGGTTTTTTTTTTAAAATAATCATAATGTCTTAGAAACTTATGTACTGAAGTACCTAATGACATAACTTAATACAAATATAATAAGTAATAAACTTGACCTTTTGTGAACAACAAACCTTCGGCGTACTCTCTTGTTAGTTCTTTGAATGTAGTGTAATCGTCATAGTCTCCATAATCATCATCATCATCATCATATTTCTTATCAGTTATATCATCACACATTTTTTCTTTACATTTGATTGGTAAATAGTCGTAGCCGTAGTCATCTTTGTTTATATCTTCGTATATTGGTTCCTCTTTCTAAATAAAACTCCAAAAATACACATCATATCTTAAAGTAACGATAACAATTTTGTTATGATAAAAAGTTTCTTTACACGAAATATTTCTTTGCTTGGGCTCGAAAATTTTTATAAATATATATTTCTGGAGAAACGTTATGATAAAAAATATATAAGGGAGTAACTTTCCTTGTTTCTTTTATCAGTAAAATATAGCTTTTCATATGCAAAATTAAGAAAAAAAGAATGACTGAAGATCGATAGACTGATAAATAATTTTTCAAGGTTAAAAAAGTATCATATAGATTACTGAATGATCTTATTTGAAATATGTTATTAATTAAGTAAAACATGTCATACCTTTTTCAAATTGAAGTTTTTCTCTCTTCGGTTCTTTTTCTTAATTTGTTTAATGCGATCAATAAGGCGCCGGAATTTTCCTTATAAAAGAAGAAAGTAATTATAGTAAAGTTTGCATTCACGAGACCTTCTGTTTATGCTAAATAATGGTAAGTTTATGAATATTGAGAGGGTAAAATAAAGAAATTGCGAAAAAAGATTATTGAATCAGTAAAAGGAAGGCGCGTTATTTTAATAAAAACTGAAGGTCTGAGTCCCTCTTCAAAATGGTTTACGTCATTGAAGTCACTGTATTTTAAAATTAACCTACCCCTCTTTTTTATGTATTCTTCACTCCCAATGCTATAATTTACCTCTTGTTGATCATCTGAACTATCATCTTCTTCTTCATTCTCTAAACAATAAAAAAAACATGACCATATATAATTGAAATGGAAAGCAAGAAATATTCCATGAGCAAAGCATAATAGTACACAATATCTTTAAACATCCCTTTGAATTGAATGGAAACAATTCACAACTAATAAGTTTAAATTTCAATTCATTACAACAAAATTACAACAAAGATACAATTATGATTGTCAACGTTTATAAGTGTGTTATCAGTAGGCAACAAATACATGTTTCACCATCGTATTTGTTACAATTAAGTAGATAATGGTGTTTGTTTCCATTTGTTTCATATTGAACGTTTGCCGCATGAAATAGACTACAGAAGCGTATTCGTCTTATTTACTTAATTATTTGAGATAATCGTGTCAATAATAATATAAGTTTTTGTAGTTTTGAAGTTAAAAAAAATAATTGCTCTTTAAATGATGTCCCCATTTTTTGAACTTAAAATTTGATGACGTTTTAATAAAACCAGTGTATTACATTTTAAATCGAGCCTTGAAGATATGCTCATTCATAAAAAGTGAAATCAAGATTTATTTCTTTTAACTACCTAATTTGTAGAGTTTTCTTTTACACTTAAAATTTATAACTGATTTATTTATTCCTATTAAACTATCATAAAAACAAAACTGTTTTAATTTGCCAGTCATAGGAAGAGGAAAGTTGTTGTTCTTATACTGTTTACCTATGTGAGACCACAGCTTCTTACATGTAAATGTAGGAATGATCGAAGACCAAACGACCGATAACATAATTATCTTGAGGAAAGATAATTATTGCCTTCGCCTAAGTAATCTAAAACCCAATAAAGGATTAAAATTCGGGAAAAAGAACCCACTTACCCAAGCTATAAAAATGATAAAAGAGAAAGTAGTTTTCCAAAAACCCTAGAAAAATAAATATAACTTTCAAGATATTGCAAATAAATTTTAAAACCCCCTTTTAACCCACTTGGATCCTTTCTTTTTCTTCCTAATAAAAAATAAATAAACTTTTATCTACTGACAATCATAAAAATTTTTTTTTTTTTTTTTATGGTTTTACACTTACGGGTCTTTTTGAAAAACTATTATTTAGTAAATATGAATAAAAAAGCCTTAAGTAAGTTGGTACATGCTTATAAAATGAAGTAGCAAAATGTTCGATTATAAGCTTTATTATCACCTGTCGATGAAATCGGGAGGGGGATATTTCTTTGGCTTTCTCCGTCCGTTCGGAAATTTGCAGTCCGTCCGATTATTTTTTTACCCGCACTACTGCTCTGCAACTGCTGGCTGGAATTCTACGAAACTTGAAGGGAACCATAAATATCAATAATTCATCGAAATTTTATTGGATAAATCTATACTAATAGGAGATGCGCATATCGTCGCTTTGTTTCGGTCAGACCCAGAGCAATTATTATTTCCGCAACTATTGGCTGGAATTTAACGAAACTATATGGGAACCATCAATACCAAGAGGAGTCGAGTATATCGTCGTCTTGTTCCAGCGAGACCCTTTAACACAGAGTAATGGCCTTTGATAAGTTGTGCAGTATGCATATAGAGCAAACATCGTTTCTCTGCTATTTCTCTGCAGGTGCTTGATGGATTTCAACGAACGCTGTGGAAATAATCAATCCCAAATGAGATGCGCATATCGTCGCCTTGTTCCGGTCGGACCCTTTAACACAGAGTTATGGCCCTTGATAAGTTACGCAGTATGCATATAGAGCAATAATTGTTTCCGCGCTATTTGTTTGCAACTGCTGGCTTGAATTCAACGAAACTTTATGGGTACCATGAATGTTAAAGAGATATGCGCATATCAACACAGAGATAAGGTCCTTGCAACGAAATTGTTAAATGGAAAGGAATTATTCAAATGTTACCAGAAGAAAGTTGTGATGAATGTGAAATAATTTTTTATAAAAGTATCAACATGTGATAGTAGTATTTTGACTTCCGTTCAATTACTAAACTTTATGGGAACCATCAATACCAAAAGGAGATGCGCATATAATCGCCTTGTTTCGGTCAGACCCTTCAACACAGGGTTATGGCTCTTGATTAGTATGTATAGTATGCATATAGACCAATAATTGTTTTCGCGCTTTTTCCCTGCAACCGCTGGCTGGATTTCAAGAAAGCCTTTGTGGAAATATTCAATACTAAATATCAATAGGAGATGGGCATATCGTCGCCTTGTTCCGGTCAGACTATACAACACCGAGTTATGGTCCTTGATTAGTTGTGCAGTATGCATATAGAGCAATAATTGTTGCCTCGCTTTTTCCCTGCAACTACTGGCTGGAAATCAATGAAACTTTATTAGAACAATCAATACCTAAAGGAGACGCGCATGTCGATGCCTTGTTCCGGTCAGACCCTTCAGCACAGAGTTATGACCCTTGATAATGCAGTTTGCAATATTATTGATGGTTTTCAACAAGACTTTATGGGAACCATCAATACGGCAAAAAAATGTGCACTTCATTGGCATGTCCCGATAATACTATTATTGTCCTGATTTTTTTATCATGTACAAAGAATAACTCTTTTTATGCAATTTGTTTTTTCAACCATCAACTGACTGCACTTCAGCATTTTTATGTTCATCGTATGAAATAACTGTCAAGATTTAAGCATATCTGAGTCAATCGTGAATTTCATCAGTATATTATGATTGGTTTTAATACCTGGTTTGTACTTTTTACTTAAATTAAGCCTTATGTCTCCAGCTGTTATGTTAGTAAAAACCAGTACTCGGCAGGGTATATAAATTCAACAAATTGTCTTGTTTCTTTTAAGATTTGGATTTTACTAAGTAAAAACGTTCTGAAAGTAATTCAATTTGATAATACATGTTTTAAAGTAGGGTCTTAGCCGTTTAGCAATGATTTCATGCATGCTACATTTGCTTTTAAGGAAATTCACAAAACATCTTTGTGATACAGGAGTTTTTTTAATTTATCTTTTTCAAAGTTTAATTAATTATGTTGTCTACTATATTCAGCAAATAAATAGCTTTACACTCTTTAAATATAAACGGATATTTTCCTCAAATTTGATCTGTGTATGTGCGCCTCATACATGTATTTAGATACTTTTCGCATTAATTGATATCAGATACATGTATATTGATTTATATAGATATCGCACTTCTTTGGGGTATCAAATTTTAACATCTGAGATATTTCTGTTGTCAGTTCAAGGACATGATAATATCAACTTTAGTTTGTTATTTTTTTTATTTTTTTTTTTGATAAAGTAAACTGTAAATACTTGTGAAACATTTTAGCCTAGAAATACCTGCAAAACGTCTCCTTTCCTCGTTTTGTTCCGTGTTTTCTTCCATGAAAGCAAAATTCTGAACTGAATCTCCACCCCCATGCATGGAAATAATTGTATCATCTTGTTGGCGACCTGATGGAATATGTTTCTGATAAATATCCTCTATTTCTGTAATCATCACTTCACCATTTTCTTCATAAATTTGATACATGGAATAGTCACTAAATATTATGTCATTATCCAGAAGAGCTTCAGTTGAACCATTCAACATGTTCAGCCTTTTCAATTTGCCATCGATATCTAAGAACCAGTGTTTATTTACATTCCTCAGTCTCCAGTTTGCAGGACTGCTAATATCCGTCTCCATATTTCTGCAATGACTTCTTAAAATTATTGGTATTGCATTATTCCTTTTTTTTAATCATTAATCTGCGAAAAAGAACAATATTTCCATTGCTGTTTAGCAAAACATAGGCCAATGAAAGAAAAATGCATTAAACGTGAGCAACGTCCTACTGGTTTGGAAGTAATTAAAACTAAAAATGTGTCATGATAATGTTGTCTTCGTTAAGGACAAAGTTTAAAGCAATAATGTAACTTCTTTTGATAAAAAGGCTAGGAAAAATATATTTCATAAAGCCAATGAAGACATACGTATGGGAAAATATAAACGGGGTTTCAATAATATAAACAACGAATAGCACCCCCTTCTTCAATTGATGTACTATCTGAAAATTAATAAATATTTACCAATGAACCAAATTAATATTTCAAAATTGTAAGCAAAACTTTTTTTCCTGAAATTATTTATTTTTTTATTCCAAAAGATAATTTTATACATTGTTTACCGCCCGCGTTTTGATTTTCCTTATTTACCAGTAACATATTTGGAAGTAAAGCAAATTATTAAAAAATTGAACACGCCTTGATGATATTGGTCTAGATATCTTATAATTCCTTGTTTCACATTTACTATCAATAATAGCGTTAATGGTATAACTATTTTTTGTCTGATACAGTCAATGAAGCCATTGTATTGATTGTGTTTGAATAAGGAAACAGAGGCTTTTTTTTAGAAATTGTCATATCTAATTCAAAAACAATTTGAGCGACACAAGCGTCACAAGCATTTTTAGAAATATAATCAAGAGTTTTGAAAAATATAATTTTTGTAATTGAGATTAATTGATGCCTGTCTGAAAGATACTGATAATGTTAAATTATACGCACTATTATTGTTCATCTACGAAAAGCGTTTGACCTTATAGTCAAGTTGTAGATCACTCACATTGAAATTATGCCATGTATCTGTAAAACTGTAGTTTTTCGTTTATATCTGTCACAGGGTGAGAAAAATGTGCAGTCTGACCGAGACTCGAACCCAGGACCCTCGGAATAACGTACCGCGGCACTACCGACTGAGCTAACCGGCCGCTTACACATCTTCTCCCCTAAATAGTGAAAATTCATTTATACAAAATTCCTTGACTATATCATATGGTATTTAATAATTTATGCGCTCCGTGGCACGAGGTGACATAATCATTTAGCACTTCTGATTATTTACTTCCTTAACCACAATATATTTATTTTTATAATCTCACACAAAAAAAGCTCGAAAAATAAAGTATTTTTGCATTTCACTTCACACAGGGTCCAACACGTAAATCTTGCATACCTTTTATTGATAGTACTTCTTTCGGGAAACATTCATCCGCATCCGGGACCAGTTGAACCATCTTTAAGCGAATCGCTTTTTGAGAGTGATTCCGATGTCAGCACCCATTAAAAACTTTATAACGGCCTTAGCATTATGCACCTAAATATACAAAGCCTTGTCCCTAAACTTAGTATATTAGAAATAAAATCACAACCTTATGATATTCTTGTTTTCACTGAAACATGGCCCTCATCCAACATCGAAAATGATAACATCAGAATACCAAATTTTGGGGCCATTTTTCGCATTTATCGAACACATAGAACAGGTGTAAGGGTCGCAATTTATCTTAAACATGGTGTTTCTGGAGAGACCGTCAAGACTTATCATTACCTGACCTCGAGGCTCTCTGGATCGAAAACACTAAAACAAAACCAAAAACTTCTAACCGGTGGCTTCTACCGACCACCTGATGCTAACAATCACTATCGGTCGCTACTTGAAGAGAGCATTGACAGAGCATCTAACAAATAGTCAAAACATTATCACCACTGGCGATTTTAATTGCAACTTACTCGACCTAAACAACCAGAAAATGCAAAACTTGATTAATTCCCATAATATGCATCAAACTGTATCAGATCCTACACATTTTACAGAAACATCTTGCTCCACCATTGATCTTCTTTATAAAATATATAAACCATGTCCTCACAAGCTTCGTTGCTGACCCCTTTATACCTGATTTAGTTAGATATCACTGTCCTATAGTAATTGTCTTAAAACACACACAAAAAAACAAATACACTCATCTTTTGAAAGACACATATGGAACTATGACCAATACAGAAAATGATAATCACTAATGAAAGCCCAACAAGGCAAAATTGAAAATGTTGCAGGCTCGGTTTGATTGAGCCTGTTCATGGACGGTACTGTCAAGTGCAAACTACCGTCCACGCCCTCTATCACCGGCTTAAGCAGAATTCAACATTTAACATGAACTGGCACAATTTGAACTGGTACTGCGACTATGATCGTTTAAGAAAAATCTGAAGAAACGAAACTAACTGGGAGCACATATTATCTTGTAATGACCGCGATCTTCAAACCAACAAGGTACATTTACAATAGTGAATGCCGCAAAAGAAACAATATCAAACAAGGATGTAACTATCCGTCCGTATGACATGTATGATGTTCCATGGTTCAATTCTAACTTAAGAAAACTGATTCGTACTCGAGCACGTCTCCATAAAATTGCAAAATCAAGAAATACATATCATCACTGATCAAAATTAAGAAAAACAAAACGAAATGAAGTAAAGAAAGAGATAAGAAAAGCAAAGATAGAGCTACCAACTAACCGCCCCCACAAACAGCGATCCCGTCCCACACGCCACAAAAAAAAATTTTTTTCCTACACATCATTCGCATTACCGCTCCTCAGCACCAAAAATTTTTGGGGCGCGGCTTCAAAAACCGCCGCGCCCGCGCCCCGCCGCGCCCCCCCCAAAACACACCCCGAAGCCCGCCCGACCGCAAGCCGAAGGAATGCCAAAAAAAAAAAGATTAACACAATAGGTCCAAAATACTGGTTTAAGATATGATATCAAAAACAATTCTCAAACTCTATAAAACCGATAACTATATACCAACACTCTACACACGATCCTCCCAAGCGAGCACAGACTAAGACAAGGCCAATTTTCTAAACTATTTCTTCAGTCAACAAAATTCTTTACAAAACAGTAACAAAGAACCACCATCTCTCAATACCACACCATCTGCATTCCTTAATAATTTCACTATATCATTACAAGACGTGTTAGACTCAATCGTAAATCTCAATCCCACTAAAGCATCTGCACCATATTTTATCAGTCCAAAGCTTTAAAAAGAAGAAGCATTAAATGTACACTTACTATCCCACTCTCTATTTTCTTCAATAAACTCTTGTCTATGTCTTACTTTCGAATTAATGGAAAAAAGCACACGTCACCCATGTCTTCAAGAAATTTGACCCTTCTAATCCTGGTTACTATAGACCTATCTCAGTTCATAGTTGTATTGGTAAGCTAATGGAATGTTGTGTTCATAAATATGTCTACAACTTAAAGTTAATAATTCAAAATAATATATTCTCTCCTTATCAATCTGGTTTTATAAAAGGTGACTCAACAACCAATTTCCTATCATGTATTTACAATAACATTTGTAAAGCCATTGATGAAGGTAAAGAAATAAGAATGGTTTTCTGTGACATCTCAAAGGCGTTCGATCGAGTGTGGCACAAGGATCTTATGAAACACTTTTGTATATTGGAATAAATGGTCCCCTATGTCAGTGGTTTCACTCATATCTTTCAAATAGAAAACAAAACGTGTTGTTCTTCGTAATTCATTCTGTTTTAGCCGGCGTGCCTCAATGCTCAGTACTTGGTCCTTCGTTTTTCCCTAATTTACATATATGTCAAAGATTCAATCGTCAATTCTAATATTCGGCTCTTTGCTGACGACACTAGCTTATTTTTATTGTTGATTCGCTGAAACCACGGCAACATCACTTAACAATTACTTACAAAACATATACTCCTGGGCAACATCATGGTTAATAGACATTAATCCAAATAAAAAAAAAACTCTTATATTCTCCTCAAAAGAAACAAAGCCACACATCCTGCACTGACAATGAATAATACCACAATAAAAAAACTTCAAAAAACCTAACTTTCGACTATGAAGGCAAATGGTATTCACATATAACTTTAACTGTCTTGAATGCATGGAAACGCATTGGATTTTATATTTTACTTTTATAAGACCTTTATTTTAATATAGTAATACCGTTGGCACACAATCAGAAAAACTCAGTATCGAGGCAGTTCAAACAGAAGCTGGAAGAAAAGCCACTGGAGCAATTTAACTATGCAGCATAAAAATTATATAACGATTTGAAATGGGAAACTTTATCAGAACATAAGTCTAAAAAACATAAATTAATAATATTCTATAAAATGAAAAGCAATCTCACACCAGACTTACTTTCCAACCTCATCCCAGAACATTCACAAACAATATATCAACTCCGAAACACTAATTATAATGTCATTTTTAACATACATGCTAGAACTTAGCTATATAAGGACTCCTTTCTACTCTCCTAAATAAGAGATTGGAACACACTGCCTGAAGAAGCTAAATCTAGCCCTACTTTTAGAATATTCAAAAGTAAACTTAACGCAAATATACTTTAACCTTCATCATATTATCTTTTTGGTAATAGACAGGTCCAAATATTGCACAGTCGATTGCGTTCAGGATGTAGTTAACTTAATCATGAACTTTTTAGAAAATCCAATAATTTACTAATTCACCAAACTGCACATGCGGCTAAATAGATACAACCAGCCTTTATCTTCTCTACTCTCCTTTCTTTGACACTATCAGACAAACGCTCTTATCCAACTTACTTTGCCCAACGACATTTCAAAATCGTCTTTACTGCTCTGAAAACCTTAAAGATCCTGTATGATGTGATCAAAGTGGTTAACCACACTAAGTGAAATGATATATATGTTACTATATACTTATGCAAATAAAACAAATTTCAAACATGGAAGAATATGTAAAATATGTACTGGAAATATTTGTGCATACTATATGTAATCATTAAAATATATCCATTTATTTCTTATTGTAAATTTGACTCAAAATTTATAGAATTTTTTTTTAATATTACCTTCCTTTATTTACATAAAATTTTAAATTCGGTAATCTCTTTATAAATAATGCTTTTTGGAACGTACAATATTGATCAATCTTAACTTGAGCATCATATTCATGATTAAAATTTACAAAAAGTGTGTTACAGGATCTTTAATATTGTTGATATACAACTGTTTTTAAACGCGTATAAGACTTTATTATCGCCTCGTGTCGCTTTACGTAGCAGCGGCCCGATATTATTGACTGTAGACCCTAGTAATTTACACCAATCTATCTAAGACAAAATCTCCAAGCACTGT